AGAAGTACTTGGAATTGAGATCTAGTGCAATTATGCCTCCTTTTGGTCAGATCATTGTATTACACCAAAGAACTTTTTTTTTTCAAATTTAATTGGGCTTAATTTAATATTCTCACAACATACTGTGTGGGGGTCAGACTCTAGTGAAGAGTTCAAGAATAAGAATATTAAAATGTAGAATCCAGAAATATAAATTTAGAAATCAAAAAAAAATGTAAGTCTAGTAAAATGAGAACCAACTGTGAGCAGCTCTCTCAGCAGTTTGAGGATGAGCTATTAACAAGGGGTTATTTTGCTTTACAACCCATAGCTCTATGTACAAGGCCAAAGCATCTCTCTGCAAACTGAGAGCTACCCTACGGATATAAGCTGAGTCAACATTTAGGTTATAGATATACGACCTCTGGGTTAAGCCTTATTCCCGCTATGTGAAACTGGCAACATCAAAGGGGACAACACAGGGCTTCAGTAAACACCTCCTGAACATCCCAAGGAAAACAATTAAGATTAAGTATAAACATTGGTTTAACTAAAAAGCCTTTGTTAATGGAGACTGTAAAATAAGGCAATCTGTATCTAAGTTTTCTATAGGAGGTACTTCTCTTTATGTGTTGCTTTCTTTGGTTAATGAATAAAGAAATTGCCTTGGCCTTTGATAGGGCAGAACTTAGGTAGGCAGGAAAAACAGAACTCAACGCTAGGAGGAAGACAGCAGAGTTGGAGTGCCACCATGGAGCCGCCAGAGTCAGACAAGCTGAATCTTTCCTGGTAAGCCACTGCCACGTGGCAATATACAGATTAATAGAAATGGGTTAAATCCAGATGTTAGAGTTAGTCAATAAGAACCTAGAGCAGGTAAGAGGCGGGTGTGAGAAGGTCCGGTCACGTGGATGACTGGGCGGGGCTTCCAGTTCATATCCCAGTGTCCCTTGTAATTACTTCCTTTTTGACTCTTTCCGGGCATTCAAGATGTCGAAGCGAGGAGGTGGTGGGTCCTCCGGAGCGAAATTCCGGATATACCTGGGTCTTCCGGTAGGAGCTGTGATCAACTGTGCTGACAATACAGGAGCCAAAAATTTGTATATCATCTCTGTGAAAGGAATCAAGGGACAGCTGAACAGACTTCCTGCTGCTGGTGTGGGCGACATGGTGATGGCCACGGTTAAAAAGGGTTTTTGATCCTACTGCACATACTGGCTTTGTGGGAGCCTAGGCAGTTTGGATGCTCACCTTACGAGACCTGGATAGAGGTGGGCAGTCCTTGGGCTTCCCACAGGTCAGGGAACCCTGATTGCTCTTCGAGCAGATGAGGGAGGGGGACTTGATCGGGGGAGGGGGAGGGAAATGGGAAGCGGTTGCGGGGATGAGGCAGAAATCCTTAATAAATAAATAAATTTAAATAAAAAAAAAAGAAACTATCACACATGCCAAAAAAAAAAAAAAGAAAGGCAAACCAGAGCTGAGAAAAAGGTCCATCCAGCCGTTGTAATTCGACAACAAAAGTCATATCGAAGAAAAGATGGGGTGTTTCTCTATTTTGAAGACAACGCAGGGGTCATAGTAAACAATAAAGGCGAGATGAAAGGTTCTGCTATCACGGGTCCAGTTGCAAAGGAGTGTGCAGACTTGTGGCCCAGGATTGGATCGAATGCAGGCAGCATTGCGTGACTCTCCGGTGCATTTGTAAAATAGATTCATTAAAAGGCTTTCTTGACTCCTTCATCAATGCCAGCTTTGAGATGGAAACTGCTGAATGCCAACTCTGTGTGTGGCCTTCACTTTTTTTTGGTTTTTCGAGACAGGGTTTCTCTGTACTTTATTATTTTTTTTTATTTGTTTTGTTTTTCAAGGCAGGGTTTCTCTGTAGCTTTGGAGCCTGTCCTTGAACTAGCTCTTGTAGCCCAGGCTGGCCTCGAACTCACAAAGATCCGCCTGCCTCTGCTTTCTGAGTGCTGGGATTAAAGGCTTGTGCCACCAAAAAAAAAAAAAAAAAAAAAAAAAAAAGAACCTAGAGCAAAGGGGCTGGAGAGATGGCTCAGTGGGTAAGAGCATTGCCTTTTCTTCCAAAGGTCCTGAGTTCAATTCCCAGCAACCACATGGTCGTTCACAACCACCTGTAATGAGATCTGGTGGCCTCTTCAGGCATACATATAAACAGAATATTGTATACATAATAAATTAAATTTTAAAAATAAAAAAATAAGCTAGAGCAAATGGGCCAAGCAGTGTTTTAATTAATACAATTTCTGTGTTGGTATTTCAGGACTAAGCTAGCCAGGTAGCTGGGATGAACAAGCAGCCTCTCCCTAAAACAGCTGGCACTCCAACGTGGTCACTAAATCTACATGAAACCATAGAGGGCTTGAAAAAGGAATTATAGAAGAAAACAATATATTTACATAAAGTTTAACACAGCTTTTTGCTGTTGGCTGGTGGTGTTTTATAGCTCCTTTAAGAGAGATTTTCCTGACTCAGAAGTCGCAACAGAAAACAACAACAACAACAACAACAACAATAACAAAAACAAACGGCCTTTTACATCAGCCTAAAATAATCCATCTCTGGCTGTGGTCTCAGCTAGCTGATAAGCTCTTCGTTTCCCATGGAGATTTTTTTTTTTTTACTGGATTCTTGTTTCTGAAATAAAGATTGTTTCTGGTTTATTAGACTTTGGTTGTCTATCCCTACCTTTGCATGACCCCGCGAGACCCTACATCTAGTGGTGTGAACACCACTGGCTGACTAAGGTGTGTTCAACCACATTTCTTTCTTGCCCATGTAGGCCATTACTCCTCTGGCCAAGGCATTTGCAGAGAGCCCAGCATTTCTTCTTCTCTGACTCTCTTTGTCTCTGTCTATGAAAGCACTAAATGCATGTTTATTCCTTCTGTTTTTGGGCATGTAAAAATGGTGATCATTTTTCTATAGAAACATTAACATAGTTTAGGGCTATCAAATTCAATCCTGCTTTTCTTTGATTTCCCTGCCTACAGCAACCAACAGCAGGAATTAGAGACTGTGTCCTCACATAATGAGAAATAAAGACATTGGCATGGTAGCTAAGAACACTTTGAAATCTGGACGCCATCTGTCTATGGAGATCTGCCTTGACTGGGAGGCCCCCAAGGATCCTTGTGGGGAGCTGTGCCCCAAGGGGGAGGCACATGCACTTGTGCATAAGCACTTGCAGCAGGAAAGCTGAGCGGCACAGAGGCAGCCGCCATTTTTGTGGGCAACGGGGACAGAGAGCAACCTGGATCCCACTGCCCAAGTGCACTTGGAGTTCTCAGCATCCAGCCTCCCTTGTGCACTTGGAGATCTCAGCATCCAGCCTCCCCTGTGCACTTGGAGATCTCCAGCCTTTCACAAACTGCAGGCACTCAATTGCAAAACACAGTCCTAGCAACCTGCTAGAGTCATGGGAAATGTAGCCCCAGGCACAGCTTAATCACTAGACCTATGACCATGACGGTCACCTGGCAGCCCTTAATGTCTTATGCCCCCTTGTTTATTTTATTACACAATTTTATACCTCTGTGTTTTCTATATTTTTCTTATCATACAACTGAAGCTCTCAGCCTCCTCCATACTCTCGTTTTGTAGATGTTTCTATGTGCAAGAATATAAAATAGTTGCATTTGAAAGAGATGATCACTATAGCCCTATATTTTAAAGAAAACAACCCTACTGACTGACATTATCAACTCAAAAGGCAGTATCAAACATAAAACAAGAGACATTTATAAGAAGACTTAACATGGATCCAGTTAGTGGTGTGCATGCCTTTAATCCCAGCACTCAGAGGCAGAGTTTACAGATTTCTGTGAGTTTACAATGAGCCTGGTCTACAAGAGCTAGATCCACAATAGGCTCCAAAACTACAGAGAAACTCTGACTTGAAAAACAAAACCAAAAATACCAAGAAACCAAAAAAATAAAAAAGACTCCACGGTGCCTAGTACTTCTTTATGTTTTATATATGTGTATGGATGTGAATATACATACATATATGTATAAATTCCTGGAGGTATTTAGTTTCTTGCAGGAAAAGATTTAAATATATCAAATATAATAAAATTTCCACATTTTGTCCTTACTAAGGGACAGAAAATATGTGTCCTCTCTTGGGTTAACCCAGCCAGGGATGGGCAAAGCACCTGAACCAGTAACCTTGAACAGCATCTCAAAAGATCCTCTGGGTGTCTTTGAGGTCCATCCCAAAAGCAATGAAGGTGTGGGGTTAGGAGATGGGATGGAAGATACTCTAAGCAGCTGCTCTCTTTTAGGAATTTAAGTACATAGAGTGGTAACTTATTGTGTTGTAGGAGGTCGCATGTTTGTCTCAACTGCCCAGAACAAAACTGACCACACAGACACTGTATTAATGAAATCACTGCTTGGCCCATTAGCTTTAACTTCTTATTGGCCAACTCTTACATCTTAATTTAACCCATTTCTAGTAATCTGTGTATCACAATATGGCTGTGGCTTATTGACAAGATTCTGAACTTTCTGTCTCTGGTGGAGTTACATGAGTTCTCTCTGACTCTGCTTTCTTTCTCCCTGCATAAAATTTGGTTTTCCTCACCTAGCTCTGATCTACCCTATCACAGGCACAAAAAATTTTAACCAATGGTATTCACAGCATATAGAAGTGAAGCCCACATCATTATTCCACTCCTGAAGTTCTCATTGGTAATTGTCTCTCCCTATGGGATGAACATGCTAATATATCACCCAGGAATTTGAACTACATGTCTGAGACAGTCTTGAAAACTCTAGCAAGTATTCTTTCACTCATCTAGCCCCATGCCCACATTATAATCATTGAACAAATTCTCTGGTCCATCAGTACAATTAGCATCCCTGTTCCCTTTTAAGTAGTAAAAAGAGAACCCACAAGACATAACAAATGAATGTAAGCAGACTCATCAGACCTAGTCACAAGCAAATGTCTGTGTCCTGGGTTCACTCAACCTGCAGAGCAGGGAAATCCTTACCCCATGGTGGCTGTGAAGGTGGCCTCACCTTCACCAGGAGAGGACTCCTCAGGATCCTTCCTTGATGCACTGCTCTCTTCTGACCTTCGCACGAACTGGACTTCTCATATATAAGCTGGGAAGAGTGCTATAAAATGAGGTGTGGTGTGGCATACACCAGTGGGAAAATGAAACTGGAAACTTAAATAAAAGCCTTCAGGTTTCTCGTCAGCGAAACTGTGGACAACCAGGTATTGGCCTTCCTGTTCTCTACTCTGAACTGATAAGGAGAAAACTCTGGAATAGACTGACATGTCAATTCCCCTCTCTGTCCAGAGAGAGACATCCCTGCACCAGGAGATGCTGTTACAAAAAGGTTGATGGAGGCAATGTGAACATAAAGGACCAGACTTGCATCTTCACAATAATTTTTTATCAAAAGTACTGATATTCTGCATTTACTCTTTGGAAGTGAGACTATAATCATGTTGATTTGATGGGATGGCAAAAGGGAAGTTAGGGATACAAGAGTCCATCTGCAAGTTGGTTCCTCTACAGTCTGGAAGTGGTCTAAACCACTTTGCTTGCTCTGTGGCTTTCCTTATCAGCTTCTGCAGATTCTATCCATGCATGTCCTCTTCCCTTTGCAGAACTTCCCAGTGTACCTGAGGCTTTAGTAGTTAGATCGTAGGTCTTGGACAAATAACCAACCTCTTTAATATAAGCAGAAGGGTTAGTAGAAAAGGAACCTAACCTTTTTTCTCTCTGAGAGAGATCTGAAAGAGAACAGGGAACATGAAATTTTATAATGCCATTGATTCCCTCTACCTCCCAGAGAGGGCGAAATAGTGCAGTGCTATGTTGGTATTTAGCATGGGAGGAGACTGGGGAGGATTTGGAGGTGCTAGCCCAGTGTGCAGAGGGGGTTTATTGGTGGAAAGTTGGGGTAGGACGGGGAGGGTGAGAAGGAGAGGAAGGTGGGTAAGAAGGAAGTTGACCTTGTACTTCCAGATAGGCAAGGAAGGGGGTAGACAGGGAAGGAGAGAAATGTAAAAAATGTTGCTTCATAGGAGGGGGTTGGGTAGTGTGGGCTTGAGGGAGTAGGGGAGGGGCTAGTGCCCCTGGCTTCATGGTCCAGCTGGAATTATTGGGGTCACAATTCTCAGATGACTGGAAATTTGGAGGCGTTGTGGCCTTTGCTTCCAAGACCAGTGCCACAAGACATTGGCTACTAAGGGAAGAGAGAGACCACGGAACTGAAAAACCATGGACATATGTAAGCTCTGCCCATTTGTCCTTAAGGCAACAAAAATTTTCTAGGTTCCAGAGGACGGTAAGCCCAAGGCTTCCTTCTGGTATCCCATTGTCAAGATAGTATTGAGGCCAAATCTTAGTTGCATAGGGAAATTAGACATTCGAGACTAATTGTATTGGACCGCCCCAATTTATAAAGATTTTGTAAGATGCATCCCAGAGGTGACAGCAGATCTGGCTTTGATCTGCAAGTGCCCATTTTAAAGTCTATGCCCAAGTGCGTGGCCTAAGTCTATTACAGTGTGTCCATTAAAATAGCTCTTCAGTCTAAGTGGGTCAAGGAAATTGAATGCTAGGTGTCCCTAAAGCAAACAGAGTCCATCTCAGCGAGACCCAGTCTTGCCCATCTAGCCGCTGAAGTCAGACCTCAAGATGCAGGCCCACAGCTTCCACAAGAGTCCAATAATCGATAAAAGTAAGTACAAATGGGTTCCCCCAAACCCCTATAGCATAGTCAACAAAAAGAACACACCAAAACGCAGCTCTGTAGCCTGGGAGCTGATTTTAGAGGGGCATGGAGAGCTCAGATTGTGGACTAGGGGGCTGTCCATATGTGGCTTATGGCCACGTAGAAAGGCCACCCTACCCAGTGGGACCTCCAAGATGTTAGGAATTCTGCTAACACGAGTTCTTTGCTGACGCAAAAAAAACTCAGTCAAGCCAAATTACAAGTCAAATTTACAAATATCCAAATTTAATGGGACTCCTGTGCTCTTAGGTGGCCATGAGGGAGAAGTGGGATGCCAGGAACGTAATTATAAGCTCTGTGGTGGGGAAGTTGAGGAAAGAGACCATGAGGGAACTTTAAGGGGAAGCAGTTTAAATAGACTGGGGCAGTGGTCAAAATTTTGGCAAGCTTTCTTGACCCTGATTTACGAAATGGTCAGGGCTTGGCAGGCACAGAGACTGGGCCTACAAAAATGGAGACCAAAGAATGGGGCTTACATCACAAACACTTTAGCCACTGGATAGAGCCAGAAAATACACCAACTGTCCTCAGCCCTCATCCAACCCATGCTGAAAAATGGTCTACACCTGGGAGAGGAATGAGGCTTCCCTACAAGACCATTGTGGAGAAGTCTGTGCCATAACCCAGTCAGGGCCTATGTCCAAGTCCCAAGCCCTGCTGCACCAGTGATCTGTGTTGTTGTCCAAGGACTGAGTTATTACCAAAGGCCATGTGAATGTCTGGGGTCTGGGCTGTCACCTGAGGCCATAGTGACATTTGTGGTCAGGGGGGTTACAAGGGGCTTGTCTGGGTCCATGGTGCTAATGTAGTCTGTGTTCTAGCTCAATCTGTACCCTCAGCATCCATCAAAGGTCATGGGGATATCCTTGGTGTCTGGCAATGCATTAAGGGATTAATATCTGTAGGATGTGCTGCTGTGGTGTACCAGATTGTTGTGGTTGGGCATCTTGATGTCTGCTGACAGGTCAGCCTATGAGAGCTGGGTCTCAGTTAGTGTTCTTACTGAAGCATAGGCCTGTGTTTGTGGTCTACAGTATGCCCAGAATTTGAGTGTGTCATCATGACCCATGTTCCCACTGAATGGAAAGAGCATGGAGATGACTTTTGTGGTGAAAGTGATATCGATGTCTGCAGAGGCAGGGTTGAGAGGGGAAGATATGGAAGGCATTTGTGGCAGACATTGGACCTCCCAAACTGCCTTTGCCTAAAACACATAACAGCCTAGACAGAGAGCCACCAAAGAAAACTCTTAAAAAGTGTGACAAAGTGTGATGTCAATCATCTGTGATGTCAGCTACCCTACATCAACTCTTTTTTTCCACCTTTAAAACCAGAAATCCACAGGCAGAAACTGGTTGATATCTGAGTTCAAAACCAACCTGGTCTACAGAGTGAGTTCTAGAACAGTCAGAGCCACACATAGAAATTCAGTCTCAAAAAACCAAAATGAATGAAGCAGTGACTGAATAAATATAAGAAAACGTGTGAACTAGCTGAAGACTAGCTGTGATGATTTGATGGAGGAAGGTCATTGGCTAATAAAGGCACTGCCCTGGCCCATTTTATTGGTTAGAGGATAGGTGGGAGGAGTAAACAGAACAAAATGCTGGGAGGAAGAGGAAGTGAGCTCAGAGACTCCACAGCTCTCTCGGGAGCAGACGCCTCAGAGAGAGACGCCATGCCCCGCTCCCGGGATGAAGCTCCGACCCAGGATGGACTAGGCTAGAATCTCCCCGGTAAGCGCACCTTGGGGTGCTACACACAGATGATTAGAAATGGGCTAAATTATTATGTGAGAATTAGCCTAGAAGAGAATGGGCCAAGCAGTGATTAAAAGAATACAGTGTCCGTGTAATTATTTCGGGGCATAAGCTAGCCAGGCAGGCAGCTGGGGTGTTGGGGACGCAGCCCCGCCGCCGCCCTTACTACTTCAATGATTGTTCACCATTTAAGAGACAAGTCACACAAACTCCTTGCAGCCCCTCCCTCCCTCCCCTTCTTGTTTTCTCTCTCTGTTTCCTTTTCTGCTGCCCCCTTCTCTCTCTTGCTCTGTCCTCTTTTCCTTCTTTTCTCTCTCCCTCTATCTCTCTCTGTCTCTCACACCCTTTTTCCTTTTTCTTACCCTCCATAATTCAACTAATAAATATCTAATTCTATTCTGTACAATGTGTCTGTCCATGATGTGCTGATCATATGCCAACACTGCTAGCTGGCAGGAACTTGCACCTTCACGGGGAACTTATACTTTCCAGGGGACTCACAGTCTGTAGGACCAACTTTTCTCTGCATGGCTGGGGCCAGCCACCTTGGTTTGTGGACCCACCACAAGCTGCCCGGGGCCCACTGAAAAATCCTACACTAGTTCTCCTCAATCCATAGCTTCTGAGCTTCCGGTGAGTGTGTGGGAGAGGAAGGATTCAGTGTATTTCTGGGGCTGGGCACTAAGAATTTGGCGATGCTCCAAATACGATATATAAAACACAAAGTGAAACTTGTATTTTTCTTTTTGCTTACTTCTGTTGTGAGTAAGTTTACAAGAGGCAGTGAACATGAAAGGACTTTCAAGATCAGAGTGTATGATGTAAAGCTCCCAGATAATCAATAAAAGATGGTATGTGTTGAAAAAAGATTACCAAATGTATTAAAAATGTTGTGAATTAAGGGGCATTTCAAGGAAACCAGGCTCAAGGACTTGCCTGACAAATCAGATTGAAGAAGTGTAGGCCCATATTTCTACATGATGTGACATCTAAGTTCTCAGGCCATTGGTGATCTTCAGGATTTGAAAAAAGCCTGAGACTCCCTTCCAATATTGCTGTGTGAACTGTGTCTCAATTATTCCTGCATTTCCCTTCACGTCCAAGAGAGAAAAACACTTAATGTTGGGACATTGGACTGTGACAAAGAAGAGGTGTTGCTTCCACCCTTGGATATAATCCATAGAGTGACAGTTAGCTGACACTGGGATGTCACAGCCCACACTAACCTATCATCTGATACTTGATGTTTGTGTCAAGGGCTGAGAACCATGTGACCAACATTAGTCCCCTCCCTTGGTGCAGTCTGCTCTACTGAAGGCCCTTTCCCCTGATCACCCATCTAGACCTGGACCTGACTTGCAGTTCTTGTCCTTCACTTGGTTAGGCCTTTTGACTCCTGGCTTGATTCCTCAGCATCTTTTTTGGCCTGCCACTGACAACAACACCAGCAATCAGTACCAGCAGCCCCCGCTGGCCTCCTACTCATCTATGGCTCTTTCTTGTGTGGGATCATTCTCACTCCTCTTTTG